TACCAAAAATAGTTTCGCCTAACAACAGTAGTCTAAGTGCTAATGCAATATCAGTATATTGTAACAAAAAAGTTTTTAAAATAGTTTTTTGATTGTTATTTCATTTGTATATATTTTCACCTAACTCCATTTGATAACAGTAACTATCTAATTTTAATCCTGTTTCATGTAAATACTTTAATCAGGCATACAAAAATAGTCTTAATAGCTTAGCACATGAAAAGTGTTATATCGACGTCCAAAATTTCGGTATATGTGATTTTTTTTGATATAGCTGTTACAATTTAACACTCGCATTCAGAAAATAGTATAGACGTAAATTTTAGTATAAGCATTCTACAAAATTAAAATATATATAAGTACCTTAAGTACCTTGAATTCAATAAGAAACAAAAATTTACATTTACTAATAAATATAACAAATAAAGAGTATACACTTATTTGAATTTTCTCTTGAGACTTTATCTTTTGAATTCAACTTGTAACTTTAATAACCCTTTCAAGTCTCAATTCAACAGACTAGATCGACTTGTAATTTCGACTAGAATTATTAAGACTTAGATTTTAGAAATTAAATTTTTTTTTTTTTGGTTTTAACAACCTAGGAAGTCCTAGAACACTTTATGAAACCAAGTATTTAAATCCTACCCATATTAGTTGACTAAAATCATCTCTTTTATTGTATGCCATTGGAGCAAAATTGGTTTATTGCTCACATTATTTTACTCAGCTCTCATATTCAATGGTTACAATATGCATATCCGATCTAATATAAATAGATTTTGAATCTATAAATACACCATTATAAGATAAAATTATAATAAACATCTTTAACAAACATCCCAATTTTAATACTTTAATTACTGATAAAATATGAAAATAATCTTTTTTAAAGATGGTTATTCAATCTCTAAAAAAAAAATAGTTAGATTCATTATCAGAAATGGTAACGTTTTAAAAATATCGCATTCAATAAATGTATAAAATTCAAATCTGGATATTCGTAGTTCTTAAACAATAATTCATGTTTTATATAATTAATTATATTCGATTATTCTGTGCAATTTTGTAAAAGGTTCTAGCTTTTTCTGTTTTGTTTTAATGCAGATGATTGTCAAAATTAATATAACATGTGTATATATGTGTGACCTAATATAAACTTAAAGTTAATTACCGTAAAGTGCCAACTGGATACGTATTTACAATGTCTTAAGATATACCTGTCACATTTTTCTTGTTCAACTTTGCTAGTCTTCAATGTTTTGCATCAGCTAGATATTACTCAAAGTTTAAGTTGCTATTCTTCTGTATATAATCGAATCTATATCTACAGAATATCTCGGGTATAATTCATAGGGATATACCGCATGGTACTCAAAAATATCAAACGTATAATCCATCCAAATTCATTGTTTTGTAATTTTTATGGACCGCAGCGTCTATATTGCAAAAATTTTATGTATAAGAATGCCAAATATAATGTGCTATAGAGATCTAAAAATAATGGATCATATAATATACTTTAGATCAATACAATGATTAAATTGAAAATCTAGTTTCTTATATTATTATTTTTTTTTAACGTTAAATTCTATAAACATTGCAGATTTTTATTATGGTTTTTTAAATCTTCTCAAAAATGATACCTACACTATTATCGCTCTTATCCATCTTATTTAATGAAGAAAATTGTATTAATTTCTTATTCAATAAGAGAATTCTTTATGAACAATCTGAGTGTAGTGTGTGTGGTGGTGAGATGACAAGACATAACAAAGTCTTTCAATGTAGACGAAAAAGGTGCAGGAAAGCCGTATCGATTTTTAAGGACTTATTTTTTTCTAAAGACCGATTGAAAGCTAAAGAAGCCTTTTTAATTAGTTATCTATAGCTTTCCAAAGCATCGCATTAAACAATTATATCAATCACAAGCCATTTGCCAAATACAATAACTGATTATATGGGTTATTATAGGTTGTTAATTAATAATAATAATTTTTTTTTTACAGCTATTATCATAATTCCTGAAACACCTGATAAAAATTAGCCAAATGATTTTTCTGCCGATTCAGTTAAATTTATGATTTTGGCGTAATAGATTCTATATATATAAATATTATACAGACACGAATATTTCAGATCGAATACAGAAACATGATACTCTCAAAGCATCTTTGCTGGCGAATAATTGAAAAAAATTAGAATCTTATCATTTCAAAAATTGCAAACACTTAGATGTTAGGTTGTCATTTATAAATTGAGTTCTTAAGTACTTTCAAAGATATGGATGCATTGAAAAACTTCTGCGACAAATACGAATAAAATTAAGCTTTTTTGAGTGAAATCTTGAGTCACATCCTTAAACCAGTTGACAAATTTTTGATCATGTCTACTTTCTTAATATTGCTTCAATATTGTTATCTGCACAATCAATAGATATTGATATCTCTATTTGGAAAGATGTGTGGATTAGATATACCTTCTCAAAGTGGTTTCTGTTGTATATATCAAGGTGACTATAATAGTCTGTTTGGCAAATTACATGGTCGCGACTTTGGGATTCATTGTAAGTTAAGTTAAAATTATTCTTAAGCTGCTTAAGGTGCTGTCACGTGACTCCGAAGTTAAATGTTGATATGATTGTGTAATATATTTATTATAAGAGTTTATTTTATATAGAACCTTTTTATATCCTTGTCAATATTTAGCTTTTTCCATAAGTTTTTACATAAACTAAATACAAAATTTAATCTATTTTATATCTATCTTTCATATATAGGATGAAGTCAAAGTTATATATAATTTTTGTTATATGAAAAATGTTGGCAAAACTTTCGTAGAGTTGGCACATAAAGTCTAGTACTGTAATATTGGTGTGCTATTGCACTATTTAATATAAAAGTTGCGTATACACATGTATACGTACAATTTTATTGAATCTATTATGCCGAAATTACAAATTTAACTGAATCAGCTGAAATATCATTCTGCTAATTTTTATCAGGTGTTTCAGAAATTATGATAATAGTTGTAAAATATATATATATATATATATATAATTTTTAATCATAGATCACTTATTGGCTTTGATGTCCAAGATACTCAAGATAAGATTGGAAGCTAGGATAAATCGATGAGTCAAAGTTTAGTAAGCAAAAATATAATTGTGGCCATCGTGTTGAGGAAGTCTGGATTTTTGGCGGTGTAGAAAAAACTCCAGAAAGAAAAATATTTGCAAAAGCTGTTGATGACAGATCCGCCGAAACTTTACTCGCTTTAATTGAGGAAAATATAAACCCTGGGTCTATTATTTATTCAGACCTGTGGTGTGCCTATATAAGAATAAGCTCTGATTTAGAGTTTCAGCATCAAACAGTAAACCATAGTTCAAATTTTGTCGATCCCAGTACAGGCACCCATACGAACACGATTGAAGGAACCTGGAATGGTATTAAAATCCAGGTTAGTAATAAAAAAAAAAATTAATAATTTAGTTGATTTAAATTTTTTAAATTAACTACGTAATCGTTAAATATCTGAAGTTGCCACTTTAGATATCTAAAAGTAGGTACGTAGCTAATACAAATACGTACAGACATACAAGATATTTAGTAAAGTAGTGCTGTACAGCAGTACAAATTCAGGCGGACATACGAAAATTATACTAAATTTTGATCGTATATATAGTTAATACATATAGACTTACAAGTTTTAATTTTATAAATAACCCTTTTTGATTAGAGTGAGCGCTAGTATTGACCATTTTTTTCATGTTAAGATTTATAGAAAAAGTAATTAGGGTTTTATGAATTTTTTCTTTTATAAACTGTACATACTATCATTAATTTCTACACATCCGTCCTAATTTACGTTTCTCATGAAAAAAGAACAATACTAGCGCTCACCCTAACTTTAACCATTAAAAATGGTTACTTATATAAAAATTGAATTTTACAAGTCTATATTAGCCATATATACGTACTATCAAAATTTAGTATAATTTTCGTATGTTCGTTTGAATTTGTTTCACGTACAGTAATACTTTACTGAATATCTCTTTTTTTGTGTGAGGTTATAAGAAAATTAGCTTCGTTTCGAAAGAATTTTTCTTTTACAAACTGTATATACTGTACGTACATACGTATGTACTATCATGAGTTCCACACGTCCGCATTTCCGTACTATATATACCTTCTAAAATTAGATCTTCATGCATATAATCTTAGTCAGGTGCTACTTGTAACCTATAAATAAAAATAATGTGCAAGAGTATTATTTTAAATTATGGTTTGCATTAAGTTTAATTTAGATCATAATTCAAATAATGCTCTTAAGCATTATTTTGCTTTCTTTAAAATTTTATGGTTTTTTTTTTATTTTTTGTTTTAATTTAGGTTCCAACAAGAAACCATACAAGTTCTAAAATTTTGGCTTATTTATTTGAGTTTATATAGCACCGGCAGAATAATGATAATCTTTGGAAAAAAATGCTAGAATGCATGAAGAATACGGGATATTTTGATGAAGTAGATGAAACAGATGAAGAGAATGAAGATGAAGAGGATGAAGATGGTGATAGAAACGAAGTAGGAGATGGAAAGGAGAATGAAAGTGATGATGAGAACGAAAATGAAGAGGACGAGGAAAGAGAAAATAATGAAGACGAAAATGAAGAGGAGGAAAGCAAAGAGAAGGAAAGCGAAGAGGAGGAAAGCGAAGAGGAGGAAAGTGAAGAGGAGGAAAGCAAAGAGGAGGAAAGCGAAGAGGAGGAAAGTAAATATGGTGATAGTTAAAGTGGCAAAAATATAAGGCTATAATTTTTAATTTTTAGTATTATTTCAAAAATTACTGGAAAAAATAAAATTTGATAATTATTCACTTACCACAAATATTAGCAGTTATTTGAAAATTATCATTCAATTCAAATTTATTTATTAAAAAAATAAAATAAAGTTACCCTGATAATGAAATGTAGTATATTTGTTATAAGTAGAAATGGAACAATAATAGGGTTCGGAATCCACTTAGATTAGAACGGAATAATTATACTAAAAATCCTAACCCTAACCTTAAAACTTTCAAATCAACTTAAATTCTATTCCACCTATGACATAATTCAATAAATCAGTTTTTATAAAAATCATTAGGACATATTTGTAAATATGTAGTTTTAATAATTAATTTGGATAAAATCTTTTCATCGCTCTCCTATTCTAGAATGATTTCGCAAAGCTGGTAAAAATCAAAAAATTTAACATGTTACAAATAGTTGATTTATTAGATCTCTTTCCAAACATTTCATTATTAGGATTACTTAACATTGTGGTGTGTTCTTAATAATTGTTGGTTATAAACAATTATGACATAATTCTATTTAAAACTGTGATTTAATTTTTAATTATAAGATACAAATCATCTATACAAAACTTCCTATACAATTATTACAAATGAGTAAATATCTATGTTGACCTCTGTCTAAAGTTTTGGCGCTATATACGGTAAAACTTTATAAATCACACATTCTTCCCTTAATGCTATACTAGTTGATACCAAGGTTCTAAATCTGCAATATATGCACTATGTAAACTATTTTAAAAAATATTA